CCATCACTTGTATGAACAGTCATGCAAACCAGAGATAGTGCCCATTGCCTCACTGGAATAAAACTAAGCTAAATAGATATACCTGGGTTTTGATTTGATTTGGTTTTGATTTTGATTAGATATATATATAATGTCTCACACTAATTATGAGCTCCTAGAAAGCAATGCTATCTCACCAAAATCTTTTATCTTTTACATACAGCCATCTCCCACTGAATACTTCCTAAATGAAAAAAGACACAGAATAATGTCTAGGGCAGCTCAGGAAGCCAGGAAAGGCCTCCTAGGCAACTGCTGTATGTCTTCATTCTTCAAAGTTTCATATTAAAGCAAATGCTGAAATATTTCTACTAAATCCAATAACGCAGAATCTAAATATTTTACCAATTTAATCAGGAAAAATAATGTTCAGAAAAAGTAAAGACAATTAAACAAATACAACTTTTGAAAAGAACTCACTTTCTGTTCACTTTAAGCTACTGAAAAGCTGGAAAAAGCACAGGGAGACTATGCAAAATAAGAGAGAAAAGAAATGTTCAAAAAAGTAACAATAGTCGCCATGAATCTTTTGGTCATGAATTCAGAGACATGCTAACCATGCTCACTGACTCTAAGGACTTCAGAATCATTCCTTAAAGCCTGGCAGAAAACTGGCTGCAATCATGGTAAATAAGGACCCAAGAAAAAGGAAAAATGGTGGTATCCTGGAGATGCACATGAACCGCCCAGTAAATACCTATCCTGCTTGGCTTTTAAGAGTCAAATGGATTCTACTTCTGAATTCATTATGGAAGTCTACCAGGTGTTTTTCCCGGGTATGTATCTGTTTATTTTTTGTATGTTTGCTAATAAAATATTTTTAAAAATGAACACAATTAGAAGTTATCCTTCACTTTTTATCTAAAGACAGTTTAAGGTACAAGGTGATGGCAATGCCCTCTTTGGATGCCTACAAGTTTACTTAATTTCAATACCTGGTTGTAAAGGATCTTCATATAAAGCATTGATGGCCTATAGCCATCAAGCATATTTTTCTGTACTTCATCTTTGGCCACATATGAACCACCATCCTTTATCCGGATGCCAGTCTTTAAATAATTGAAGTGTCGTCCGTATAATTCAAAAAATTCTATCAAGAGAACACCATAGTTTGTATTGGGGATGCAAGCATCTTCCCTGGGATGTAACTAAAAAAAAAGAAAGAGAGGAAGAAATTATTTTGGATTTTCTCTAAATTATCAGGGAGGGGGTTTAAACAGCATTCTAACTTCTACAAACAGTATTATTATAATTTTGGTTTGGCAGAAAAGTCAATAAATAATGGAGTAATAAAAGGTTGTGTGCTGCTGTTACAGATAATACCATAAAACAATCCCGTGGGTACAGAGTGGCAAAGGGCAGTCTATAAGGCTCAATTTGACAGGGTGGAAGAGCGTACCACATCATGGAAAATCATCTGACTGATAGCAGAGCCTGAATATTGGCAATCAGTGCCACAGAGACATCCAAGACTAAGACTTTAACTCTTTTTACCCAACCCTGCAGGTCTCAAACCTAGGTAAACTTTGCAATTAGTTGCTGGGGACACACTCTTATTTTTGGCACTCACACTACCATTTACACTTACGGAAACCAGATCTTACTGCTGCTTATTAACATCTGCAGTGAAAAAAATCTCAATACATTAGAACACCTGGGATTAAAGACAACAAATACTGGGCTGGCAGAGTGCTCAAGTGGTAGAACATCTGCCTAGCAAGCATAAGGCCATGAGTTAAACTCTGGTACAGCTGGTTGCTGGGCTCATGCCTGTAATCCTAGCTTCTCAGGAGGCAGAGATCAGGAGGATCAAAGTTTGAACCCAGCCCAGGGAAAATAGTTCATAAGATCCTATCTTGAAAAAAAAAAAAAAACCTATAACTTGGCAGAGTGGCTCAAGGTTTAGGCTCTGAGTTCAAACCCAAGTACCACAAAAAAAAAAAAAAAAAACCTTGAACAGCCAAACACAGAAAAAGAGCAACAATAAATATTTTCTCCAAGGAACTGTTAACTACTTATTTGCTAAATTATGAAAAGGTTCCCAGTTTAAAGGGAAGAGAGCCACAGGTAATCAAGGGAAGCATGCCGATAAAGCTTGATTTAATTGTTTCCCTCAAAATGTCTACCTAGCTGATTTATTTATTTATTTTCCTTTTAGTATACACTAGCATAGTATACCAATACAGCTTACCTGAAGGAAACTGACTGCCATTAAAAAGAGACTAATAAGAACCAATTCCACCTGTAAATACTTCATTAAGGTCCTCTGTAGTAAGAATTGTTTCAATACTAAAACCAAATATGGCAATACAGGATATTTCTGAAAAAGAAACAAAATTATATTTTCAATAAATTCTTCTATCAGTAATACTCTAGGCATTAGTAGAGCATAAACTGGTCTTAAAAAAAAAAAAGTAAACTGTAAATAACCAAGGATTTTCTCCTGTCTAAAATCTAAAACATGGTAACACAAACAGCATCCATGAGCTCACTTAACAGTACATATCTGATGGGGCTCATCTATGACCACAACTATGTGTCACTCATCTATAAACAGATGACAGAAACAGGACAAGGACAAAGTCCCTCAAGATTTGAAAGCAATGAATCAGTGGGATTTTAACACTTTTCTTAGGTGGTGCTACACTGTGTACCGGGTAATTTGGACACTTTGCTGCAGCCTCAGAGCAGGAGTAGCCTTGCCTGCTGTCTTCCACATGGGCTGAAGACCACACAGACTTCCCAGACCTTCTCTCCCTGCAGGCTTTACTGAGAAAGCACCAGGTCCCTGGTGCTGGCAGGGTGGCACAGTACGAGCCCATCTTTTGCTCATGAACATATCCAGTACTCTTCAAACCAGGCCCTTAGTGAGGGACAGTAAGGGAAACAACACAGGCCCAAATCCAAGAAGAAGTCTCAAATCTACTTCCTAGGGGTAGGAGAGTCAATATTCTCTTCTGAACTCTGGTTCCTAGCCTTCTTACATGAACACGAATAGCTTCAATAAGAAAGAAAAGGTTTATAGTTTTGAAAATCATATCAAAGTAAGTAAACAACGGGGAGAAATAAGCATTTTTACATTATGGTTAAAGTCAGACTAGATATAGTCTCCTTTTAGAGACCAATCCAATGAATATCCAACAGAATTGTATCTGTGCATACACCCTTTAGACCCAGGAATTTTACTGCCAAGAATCTTACATTTTACAAGTGTAAAGAAAGATGCATGTGTGGAAGGATGGACACCAAGAGATTTTTGTAAAGGCCAAAGAGATTGGAGCCAGGTAATGGTGGCCCATACCTGTATTCCTAGGTACTCTGGAGGCAGAGACCGGATCATGGTTCCAGGCCAATGTAAGCAAAAACTTGGAGAGACTCTATCTCAACTATAAAAAGCTGGGTGTGGTGGTGTATACCTGTCACCCCAGCTATGTGGAAGATGTACATAAGAATATCATGGTCCAGGCCAGCCCAGGTAAAAACTTGAGACCCTATCTGAAAGTAAAGCAAAAAGGGCTGGGGGAGTAGTTCAAGTGGTAGAGCACTTGCCTCACAAGTGCAAGGTACTGAGTGAAAACCCCAGTACCTCCAAAAAAGAAAAAGAAGTTTTGAGGCCAGTCTAGCCCTATGCAAAAAGTTCATGAAATCCCATCTCTACCAATGGCTGGCATGGAGGTGCATGCTTGTCATCCCAGCTGAGGATCTTGGTCCAGGGACCCTATCTCAAAAATAACCAATGCATGCCAGGCACCAGTGGCTCATGCTTGTAATTCTAGCCACTCAGGAGGCGGAATTCAGGAAGATCACAATTCGAAGTCAGCATGGGCCAGTTCGAGCAATCCAATCTCAAAAACATCCAACACAAAAAAACAGGGCTGGTGGAGTGGCTCAAGTGGTAGTGCACCTGCCTAGCAAGTGTGAGGCCCCGAGTTCAAACCCTAGAACTGCCAAAAAAAAAAAAAAAAAAAAGAGAGAGAGAGAGAAGAAAGGGTGCAGGCAGCACCTCCTAGGTGACTTGGGGATTAAAATGCAGAAAAGGCTCCCTAGGGAGGTTCTTGGCAGCATCACCTCAGCCCTCATGTCCCTGAATATAAGGACTGGAGCTGAAGTTTTCAAAAGCATCCCCAACCCTCAGCTCTTACCTGAGGTCACGTTATAACTGCTGACCACTAAAAGCAGATTCAAGGGAGGCAGAACAAGCGCACACAAAATGAAGAGCATCATCAGCAACACACATATGAAAACAGCTCTGTAAAGGAGACCAGAGCACCACCACAGAGAACTCTCAGGTCAAAATTACATTTCCTAAGTTTCATTGGACAGACCCTCAGAGTCTCTGACCTTGGTAAAATCTTTGATGAGGTCCGCTGCTCTCACGCCATTCTGGACATTAAAGCTGATATCAACTTTCACTTCAGTAAAAGAATCTGTTAATTTAATAATAGGCACCTAAAAAGAGAAGACAGGGAAGGTTAAAAAAATACTTCATCCTAATGAAATGACAAAATCAAGAGAAACAAAGTTACTAGGCTTGAGGTTTCCACCCTTCTCATGAGGACATTAAAACACTGAGCGTTCTCAGTACCATGCCCCACAATGAACTTGCTCTTCTGCTACATACTAACTTCTTCCTTCTTACTGTACACATTTAAGATGCCTAACAAGATGTTTTATTTCTCTCGACTTACATACTAAAGATTTCAGTTACCTTAACTAACACAGTTGTATTAATTCAGAATTTTGAAATGACATAGCAATAAACTTTTTCTTAACATTATATATGCTTTGGAGAACACCTTTCAATTCAGTATTAAGATCAAGAATCAGCCAGGCACTCACACCTGTAATCCTAGCTACTCAGGAGGCAGAGATCAGGAGGACTGCAGTTTGAAGCCAGCTCAAGAAAATATTCTGCAAGACCCTATCTTGAAAAACCCTTCACAAAAACAGGGCTGGTGGAGTGGCTCAAGGTGAAATCCCTGAGTTCAAGCCCCACTACCGGAAAAAAAAAGAGAGAGAGAGAGATCAAGAATCATCACCAAATTGTTTCTAATAAGAAAACTGCTTAACATGAATTTTTATTTTTAACAGAATTTTTTTTTTTGAGGGGGCCATTATTAGGGTTTGAACTTAGGGCCTCACGTTTGCTAAGCAGGTACTCTACCACTTGATTCATGCTCCCTGAGAAATTGTATTTTTATACTTCTTTATATACTTCACAAAATCATGTATGAGAAAAATGAGTATTATTTCTTAAAAAAAAAAAAAAAGTACTGCCAGGGAGCTGGCAGAGTGGCTCAAGTGGTAGAGCATGTGCCTAGCAAGCACAGGTCCTGAGTTCAACTCCTAGTACCACCAAAAAAAAAAAAAAGAAAAGAAAAAGGAAATGCATAGCCAGAACAAGTTCATTTGTTTTACAAACAAAAGACATTTTTTCACCAATCACTGTGATATTCATAGAATCACTGACTCACAATCCATCTGCTCACCAAAATAAATGTTTAAATTTCATGTAAACACCTAGAGATCTAAACATGCAATACTAAGAACTTACAGTTGCTTTGTCTAGAACTTTCACCGAATCCTCGTCTGCAACTTTGTGTTTCCGAAGAGCTTCTTCCAGGGTCCAGAGGGGCAGATTCTCCCACTTCCCAAACACCACAAGATCGATGTCACTGAACAGAGATGTGAAAGGGTTTGCAAAAACACAAAACAGTCCCTATTTTAGCAGACATTCATACTTATAGACTTCAAGTTAGTACAAGAGAGACTATCTCCTGTCCTGCCCCAGGAAAACTAATGTACTGGTGGCAATGGGTTTCAAAGGGGAAGCAGAGGGTGATGATTTTAGCAGCATCCTCCAGTCACTTCACAGAACTCAGGACTCAGGAAATAAGGTGATTTTGACAGAAATAAAACCTCAAAATACCAGTGACTGTTTCCTTCTCATAAAGCTTTTTGGTGCTAAACTTAAGACTTTGCTATCTGGTTGATATTAATTATAACTTAGAAATATTAAGTGTAAAACAGTATGTCCAGTCTGCTAGCATATATGTAGGTACACACACACACACACACACACACACACACACACACACACACACACACAACTTCCTTCTCTATGTACAGATATCTCTCTTCCACAGAGGAAAGCCAGGGGACAGGAGTGGGAATGAGTCTTTTCCTTCCCATTACTTTTGTGCCTTTTCCAAATCTGAACCAGTGTGACTATAATCTATTCATATAATTTATTTTTTTAGAAATAATGTTTTTCAGGTCTTGCTGAAGCTCAGAACCTTATAAGGGAAAATATTAATATTTTATGGCTTTCATAGGCCAAGGAGAACACTGAGAAGAATGGAAGTTGCTAAGATCCATCTACTTTAACATACTTTAAGATGAGGGGAATTAGATCAAATCACAAGGAAGCATCACCACTCCCAAAAAGGAGTCCTATCAGACTGTAGATCAAACAAGTCTTCATTAGGAGACTGAAATGGAACAAGGGTTTAGCAAAAAGGCCCAAACCCTCCCCAGAGGACAGTTCTGCTGTCTAAATTTCTGGGTACAGATGCTGAAATCAACATCTAACTCCATGAGTTCTTCATAAAAGGGAAACCTCCCACCCTTGAGCACAGGCAATTAGGCACCTATCATAACAAGACACTAACATCTGTGTCACTGAGCTAAGTCAAATGTTGAGCAGTTCCCTACAGGGTAAATCAATTTATGAATCAGTGACTAATCGATTCCACTGCTCCATGCTACCTTTTACATATCTCTGTATCATCTCAGTCTTGATAAGATGGTCAGATGCAATATTCTACTGTAAGGTAATTCAAACAAAATACATGTAAATGAATTTGTTTCACAAATCTCACTGTTTTGTTTCTACTCTTAAACATTCAACAGTCGGGCTGTCGGAGTAGCTCAAGTGGTAGGGTGCCTGTCTAGAAAGCCTGAATCCCTGAGTTCAAACTCCAATGCCGCAAAAAAAAAAAAAAAAAAAAAAAAAGTGAATGAATACATTCTAGAAAAATGTACAATTCCTTGAAAGCCTTATAAATATACTAACCTTGTAGGTAAATACAGGCCAGTTTTAAAACTTCCAAATATCTGGACCTAAAACAGGAAAAGTTATTATATTAAATCACCACTCTTTGAATAAATACAGGTTTTTGCTACCCTCTACTGGTAACTTTCAGTACTACAAGAGCATCTTTTCCATGCTTATATAAAGTAGGGAATATGTTTCTCACAGGCAGACATTCAGAACACAATTTAAATTTATCAGGTTCAAACAGGAAGCATGTACAGTGAAATAGTGAACTTTTAAAAGTAACTTTCAAGTCACTAATGCTCCTTTATCATGGAAGCACAGTCACAAATCCTTAGTTTTTGTTGTCTAAGTGGCAGTTTCTCATTAATTACTAAATCAGGGTCAGACTACTTCAATTGCAGGACATGTGCTAGCTCAGAGGATAGCCCAAAGAGAACATTAGGCACTGTCCTTATAATAAGCACTATGCTGGGCATAAACCAGAATAAATTCCAGCTCAACCAATGAGAACAGTGGAGCTCGGGCAGGTATGCGTATGCTGTAACTCCACTGCAGGACAATGGTGGAAAAGGCTGTCTCTATGGTGAGTGAGCTGGGGCAGTTCCTAGGTCATTCACCATAAAGACAGTAGTCTCAGAAGGTGGGGATTGATTTAGACCAGGGTTTAAGCCCAGCACAGCTGATGTGTGGGACTGCAGGTACTGTGCTGCTCACTAGGGATGTTTAGCAGCATCCCTGTCTCCTCCAGTACAGGCCAGTAGTGCTTCCAGGCCCCAAGCCATGACACTCTGGACACTGCCACAGCACAAGGAGCAAACAAAATCAGCCCAGTTGAGAGCCGATTACGTCACACAGCCTCTCAACAAAATGCTGATGTCCTCCCCACCTTACCTGTAGTGTCACACTGCAAACTTCCTTCTTTTGCTTACTGGATAAAAACCTCCCTGGCTTCCCTACACCACTGAGCAATCTAAAGAAAAGCTATGAAACACAAAGTAATGAATTCTAGTAAGCTCCTTCTCTGCATACACAAACCTGCAGAACAGACACTTAAAGAAGCCCTAAAAAGTACAGTATTATTGACTCAGTACCAGTAACTAAGAAGCAATTCTGGGCAAATATTTTGTTCACTGAGTGGGATACATCAGGAACAAGTTGCTGGTAAGAGAGAGGGAGAAACAATGTTTTTAAGAGCGAGGCAGAAGAAATGTATGCCCATCTTTGTCTAAGAAAATGTATTTCAAGCAATAAAAGAAATTCCTATGTGACATTTTCTTTCTTGCTTTCTTTTTTTTTTTTTTTTGCAGTACTGGGGTTTGAACTCAGGGTCTCATCTTGCTAGGCAGTTACTCTACCACTTGAGCCCCTCTGCCAGCTATTTTGTGTTGATTGTTTATGAGATGGGGTCTCCAAACTATGTTCCCAGGCTGGCCTTGAACCTCAATCCTCCTGATCTCTGCCTCCATAAGTAGTCAGGATTATAGGCGTGAGCCACCAGTGCCTGGCCCTATTGTGGCATTTCATTACATTCATACAATTGTAACATTTACACTGACAGGCTGAAATGAAAACAGTAATACAGTTTTGATAAATTACATCCAATAACAGACTACTACAACAGTTTTGATTTGTTTTCGATTCCTAAATTTAGTTCGCTTTAGTAGATGCTATTCAGTACTGGGGTGGGGGTGAAGTTGTAAGTAATCTGAGTCAATGAAAGTAATCACCAAGCTCCAAATTCTAAAGGCTGCAAAAATTGTTTGCCTTAAAATTTAATTAGACCGTAACTCTACAAAAGCACTTGCATTGCATGTAAAGTGCCTGTGTGAGACGCCAGTGGCCAAGCCTCCATTTGGGTGAGGACAGGACCTTCCCCAAAGCCCCAGCTCCGAGACAGGTACTCACGTCAGCACTGGGCCAGAGCTCCTTGATCACACTCTCAATTCTGTTCACCACCTCCATTCGCATCTTCTCCTCCTCAGGTCTTGGAGACATGTATTCATAAAAATCACTGATTTCTTCATGCAGACTGATGAAAAAGGCAGAAAAGTTAACACAAAGCAGGGCTAAGCTAATGAAAAATCATCTTAAGTCTTCTCTAATTAAGCATTACAAGATAATTCAGTTGATACTTTATATTCATAATTTTTACCTTAATTTTAATGTTGTAACTCATGCTAAGCTAAAATGGAAACGTACAGAATTTAATTTTTAAAAAGCCAAAATAATGAAATAAAAAATTCTCTGTGCAGAACACTTGCCAGCCAATGATGGTTTAAAAAAAAACAAAACATGCAGGCCCTGGTCTCTCTGCCTTTACACTCAGATTTCAGCAGGCATAAAACAAGAAGACATTGAACCCAGGGGACATAGGCAAGCTTCCTGCCAGAGGGGACTGACTGTCTTGCCTCTCAGTGAGCAAAACAGTATGTCTTTCATAGTGTTGCTTAATGAACTAAGTGTCAAATGAACCAGTCAGCCAGTGAACACCAGGAGTGCCTTGAAAAGAATGGCTGTCAGAAAAGGGCTCCGTGAAGTGTCAAGGCAATGACCAAGTACATGGGGTGGCAAGAGAAGATGCATCTGGAGTGGAGGAGAAGGCAGACTCTGAACACGGCTGCTTTACAGGATGAGTTAAGAAGTTTAGGTTGGACTGGGGATGTAGCTCTGTGTTTAGAGCACTTGCCTAGTGCAAGGTCCTGGGTTCAAATGCAGCAAAGAAAGAAAGTGGGGATGGGAGGGGAGAGGAGGGAAGAGTCAATTCAGGCTTTCCCCTGTGGCAACAAGAAGCTACTTAATGTCTTTGAAGGACTGGGGAGAGACTGTACAAGATGACGCATTTTAAGATTAAACTGAGGTAGGTGCTGCTGGCCCATGCCTGTAATCCTAGGTACTTGAGAGGCTGAGTTGAGATCAGGACAATCTTGGTTCGAAGCCAGCCTAGGCAAATAGACCTCCATCTCCAAAACAACCAGAGAAAATGAACTGGAGGTATGGGGAAAGTGGTGGAGCACCTGCCCTGGGTCCAAACTATAGTCCCACCAAAAAAGAAAGAAAGAAACAAAAGACTAAACTGGCAACTGTGCATGAAGGTAGGTGTGGACACAGGGGCAGAGCTGAACGCAGTGTTGACACATGGTAGGACCACAGAAGACTAGACGATGGCTGAGGGGGTACTGACAGGAGGAGAAAGCAACAGAAACATGTCTATATGCAAACATGTGGATCGGCCTCAGCAAAGAGCCAGGGCTGAGGTCTAAGAGAGAATAAAAAGGACTGAGGGGACCAAAGAGCAGAGTGGGCAGAATGAAATTGGTGCAGTGGGACAGAGGGATGACAGCAGCATTCTTTCCCAAACTGAGACTGGGGGAGGTACCTGTGCAAGGAAAAGGGACAAGGAACACCAAGATAAGTGGTTCGCTCAGTTTTCCCTGAGTGGTGGCCACACTTGAGCTAATGCAAGTTGCAGGTCCCAGAGAGAAGCTGGAGAAAGGCTAGCAGAGTCTTAAGGGGGTGCCTACAACTCAGGGCCCCATAAAGCTCCAGAGCAAGAAGCTGGAAACATAGTACTGGGGGACTAAACATGGTTGTAAGGAAGAAAGAAGTCTGTGTCCTAACCTCCAATGACTGTAGCTTTTACTACATGGAATGCTGATGACTTTCAAAATGTGACTGATTAAGCAATCAACAGTTCCTGCCATGTTTTTGTTTTGCTTTGTTTTTAAAGACTGAGAGTCAAAAAAGTTGAGTTCTATAGTCCAGTTCTGTGTGAGGGCAGCTGTGTGCTCACATACAATACAGGGCTGGCAAGTGGAAGCCATTTCAAGTATTAAGGAATGATTTACATGGCAGCATTCTCCCAGTTTGCAGTGCAATATTGTGTAACATCTGGATTTTAAAACCCCAGAGTTCTGCAGGTAAATCCAGAAAGACATCCTAGGAGAGACCATTTTTCCTTCCTGTACTTCCTTCTGGGTACCTTGGGATTGTCAACTTCTAGTGTTCAGAGATTTTTTTTTTTTTCTTAGGCTTCCAGGTTTTATTATATTCTCTAAGTATGCATTTCTGGTCCTTTATTTTTTATTTTATTTTATTTTTTGGTGATGCTGAGGTTTGAACTTAAGGCTTTGAGCTTGCTAAGAAGCCTGTCCTTCTGCTTATAGACCACAGCTGAAAGAATAGCTGTGAGAAAGTGGACAACCTGCACTTCTCTTCAGCTTGGGTCTGCCAGCAAAGGTGAGGACCACAAATAAAAAGGAAAAACAACTGATTTGCTTCTCTGTTCCCTGGATAAGCCTGTTATGAATTACCAGAGCTTATTTGGAGTTCTAAGCCTATCTCTACAGAATTATCCAATCCCAGTAAGAAAAACCTCCAAAATTTGACTCCATCTACTCTGCAAAGACTCCCTCATACATCTTGGAATTCAACTGCCAGTTAATGTTTAAGTATAGAAACAGAATGAGAATCCATTCTCTACCTTATTGAGTACATATACTTAGGCCCTAGGATGAAATGGCTATCAATGAGGATCCTTGCCCTGGTTAATTTCCATCCAACAATGAGAAAAACTCATCCAAAGCAGTTTTGAGGAGGGTGTAGTGTGTGCATTCTATATACTGTTTTACCACAGGTAAGTTTCAAGAAGACAGAGGAGCTGGCCAGGATGGAAGGGGTTGGCTTACAGGGTACATCCCTGTCCCATCCCTACAGGTGTAAATGAAGAAACTAGATGATCATGAGGCAAAAAGAGGTCCAATAAAAGAGATTTCTGAACTTGAGGAAAAGTTAGAGAAAATTCTAAAATTTGTTTTCAGCACTGGGATTCTATGCTTTCTAGTATCACATTAATTTAGAGAAATTATAGGTCTTAAAATAAGCTCTTAAGACAAGACTATCCCAAGGGCTAGGAATGAGGCTCAGCAGTGAAGAACTTGCCTAGCATGTGTGAGGCCTAGGTTCATCCTCAGCACCGCAAAAAAAAAAAAAAAAAGACTATATGCTAAACACTTAATATTCCACAATGGGACCAGGAGCCACCATTTTTCTATTTAAGGAAAAGTGTGCCCTGGTTACTGTATTTTTTTTTTCAACTTTAATTATTTCCCCCTGTGATGCTGCAGATCAAACCCAGGGCCTTATGCATGCCAGGCAAGTGCTCTACCATTGTGCTACATAAGCAGCCCTGGTTTTTTGAGACAGAATCTCCCTATGTAGCCTAAGCTGGCCTCGAACTCTGCCTCTGGCTCCTGAATATTGGAATTATAGGCCTATGCCATCATGCCTGACTGTATTTCTTTTACTGATGGATAGCTGCCATGCTGGAAGGAAGAAAAAGAAAAAAAGAGGGGGAAACAGCTATTAAAGCAAAAAACATAGGAACAAGAGACCTCATCTCAGATCTACTAAGATCCTCTTACTCATATCAAGCACAAATCTCACTATCTCCTTATATGTAACTAGCCACATGTAAAGTGCTTAATGAACAACTAAGTAGAAAATCTTGATACATTTAGGTAATAAACTTACGTGCAGATTTTTAAGTAGTTTGGAGGGGCTGCATAGACTGGGTAACATTCCTGGCACAGTACTGTGCATATCTATGAACAGAATTCTGTCTCAGGAGGGGCCACTCTAAGCCTGGCACACATTTTAGTGCTATGGTGATTGAGTAAAGAACAGGAGTCAGAGAAATTCTGTAATCTGCTGTCACGTTATTTTATATGTCTGAAATCATCCAACTATGTACAAAAAACTTCAGTTTCTCCCATGTTTGGGTCAAAACTCAGTAAGATTGATTAGTTCTGTTGAATACCATATACTCAGCCTTGAAATTTCTCATACGAAAGTTATAAAATACAACTTTTCTGTGATCTGAAATCACAAGTGACCTAAACACTGTGCTGTGACACTGTGAAATATGAATTTGGTCTTCACCCCCATTTCCTGGAATGCCATTCTAAAAAAAATCCTTGAAATTGTCAAAATAGTCAAGTGCTTTTTTCTGTGCTAATGGTTGACTTTTAGCTGGCAGCCCCTGGGTAGCTCAGGTCATGGAAAACACCAGTGCAGGATTAAAGGTTTGGAACTTTCTGTAAGACCTAAAAGGATAGGAGTGGAGTTGAAAAGTAGTCACCATCAATGGCTAATGACTTAATCAATCATGCCTACATAATAAAGCTACCAAAAGCACCCAAAAGGACTGGGTTCAGGGAGCCTGCAGATGAAGAACATGTTGGGGCTTGCAAGAAGGTGAATAAGAACACCCTCTGTGGAGGGTGGTGCATTCCAACTCCTTGGGGACAGAAGCTCCAGTGCTGGGATTCTTCCAGCTCTTGTCCTCTGTATCTCTTCATCTGGTCATTATTTATATCATTTAAACTATTCTTTATAAATTAAACTGATAAATGTGTTTCAATAGGTTCTGTGAGCTGCTCTAGAAAGCTGAACCTCAGGAGAGGGTTGCAGGAATCCTAATTTACAGCCAACTTACTCAGAAGCACGGATAAAAAATCTTAGGTCTTGCAACTGGAATGGGAAGGAGAGTTCCATCCACCTGTGGGATCTGACACTGTCTTCAGTGTAGCAGTGTCAGGTGAAGTGAATTAGAGTCCACCAGCTGCCATTCACTGCACAACTGATGGCTTGCTTGTTGCATGGAAGATACCCACACACATTTGGTCACAAGTAGGCTATGTTTTGAGAATATGTGAGAAAAAGGTTTTCTTTTTTTTTGTTTTTTTTTTTTTGGTACTAGGGCTTGAACTCAGGGTCTTCACCTTGAGTCACTCCACCAGCCCATTTTTGTGAAGAGTTTTTTCCAAGATAGGGTCTCTCGAACTATTTGCCTGGGCTGGCTTTGAACTGTAATCCTCCCGAGTAGCTAGGATTACAGACATGAGCCACCGGCGCCCTGACAATATTTTCTTTTTAACAGGAAATACACCATTCCCTGTTTATAAAGTTAAAGTAATATAAAATGCAGTATAATGAGACAAGTACCTCTATCTAGCCAGAAAAGGTGCCACA